AGGTTGTATGATCTTCTTAATAATCCTCTGTATTCTGTTTGCCAGTATCTTATTGAGGATTTTTGCATCTATGTTCATTTAGGGAAATTGATCTGTAGTTCTCTTTTTTGGTTGGGTCTTTCTCTGCTTTGGGAATCAAAGTAATGCTTGCTTCCAGGAATGAATTTGGAAGTATTGCTTCCTTTCAATTACATTAAAGAGTTTGAGAAGTAGTGGCATTAGCTCTTCCCTAAATTTCTTGTAGAATTCAGTAGTGAAGCCATCAGGACCTGGGCTTTTCTTTGTTGATAAATTTTTAATTACATTTTCAATTTCACTGATTGAAATTGGGGTGTTTAGAATTTTTATATCTTCTTCATTCAGCTTTTGTAATTCATATGTATCTAGAAATCTGTCCATTTCTTCTGTGTTTTCCATTTTATTGGAGTACAGGTTCTCAAAGTAGACACTGATGAGACAAAGAGTAGTAATTTATAAACTACACATATTAAGGTATACAATTTAAATTTTGACATATGTACATAAAAATCACCACCAGTTATGATTGTGAACAACTCAGGTATACCCAAAAGTTTTCTTGTGCCTCCTCATAAACCCTCCCTCTCACCTTTCTTTATTCCTAATTCCTAGGTAATCATTGGTATTGTAAAACTACGGATTAGTTTATATACACATGGAATTATATAGGTGTAGTGTTTTGTTTTGTTTTGTTTTTTGGTACCAGGGATTGAACTCAGGTCCTTGTTCTTGCGCAGCAGGAAGCAAAACCACTGAGCTAAATCCCTGGCCTCTAGGTGTAGTGTTTTTATCTGGTGTCTTTCAATATAAGTATTTTGAAACTCATACTGTTATGCACATGAGCAAATTTGTAAGAAAATGTCAGATGGTTTTGGAAAAGGTTGTACCATTTTACATTCCCACCAGCAGCGCATGAGAGTACCAGTTCCTCCACATCTTCAGCAACACTTGGCAATGGCCAGTCTTTTTCATTTTAGACATTCTAATAGGTGTGTAGTAATAATTTCATAGTTGTTTTAATTTGCATTTCCTTAATGACTAATAATATGAAGCATCTTTTCACATGCTATATATATATATGCCATTCTTGTCTTTTCTTTGGTGACATGTCTATTCAACACTTTTGCCTATTTTTAAATTGATTGAAACAGTTCTGGGCAACAGACAAGCCAGGGGGCATCAGAATCCCTGACTTGAAATTAATACTACAGAGCTCCTGTAATAAAAACAGCATAGGGCCAGGGATTTAGCTCAGTGGTTCTGCTGCCTGCCTCGCAAGCACAAGGTCCCTAGTTCAATCCCAGGTACCAAAAAAAAAAAAAAAAAACAGACCTGAGGATCAGTGGAACAGACTAGAGGTTACAGAAATGACCCCAAACACACTTGGCCACTTATCGTTTTTTTGTTTTTGTTTTGTTTTTGGTACCAGGGATTGAACTCGGGTCCTTATGCTTGTGAGGCACTGGCCACCTATCTTTTTTTTCTGTTTTTTTTTCCCCATTAAGTTTATTGGTACATTTTAGGTATAAAATACAGTTATATTCATCATTGGGATCTTGTACCTTTACATAAATATCTTAGTTCTTTTTTTTTTCCCCTCCCTTGCCCTCCCTTCACCCCCTCTACCTTTCCTCTTTTCCCTTTTTTCCTTTCCCCTACCCCTCCCACTTCCACTGCACCTTTAGACCTTTTCTTCCTGTTACACAATATCAATTATACATTTTTTAAATTACAATATCAAGATCTAGGAGATATTACCACAAATTTTACAGAATTTAAAAGGATATAAAAGGCATATTTCAAAAATCTGTTTTGAAATAAATTTGACAACTTCTAAGAAGTACCTTGGAAGACAAAT